TTGAACCCACTCATGATGTTGGCCATTGTCATCACACTGTGAAACACATCCTTGAACAGTCCACAAAAGTCATAGCGTGTAATGACAGAGTTTGGATTTTCACGCATGAAACGCTCACATCTCTTGTTGTATGCATTCTTAACAGTAGTAGTAGTAGTGTGGGGTGGTAGGCAATAAATAAATATGGATGGAATGCTCATGAGCTAATTTGAGCGTTGCAATAGTAATATGTGAAGAGTGGCCATCTAATACTAGTAGCACAGGGCGTACTGTTGGCAATGATGGTATAAACATTCGGCTAAGGGAGCCTCGCAAAATAAAGCAACGCGTATACCCGTCTACAACGCGTGGTTGGGGATTAAAATCTCTTCGCGTTGCCGACGAGTGGTTCAAGATACTGATCAAAAATGTTAGACGATTCCATTTCGCGAATTAGGGTTCGTTTTCCCGACGTTTTTGTTCTACTTGTTTGCGTCGGTTTATCTCGTGATTTTTATGTACTGTAATTTATCGACAAGTCTCTTTTCTATGTTTTGTCATAAGTTTCATTCATTATTATGAATTAATTTTAATACTATATCCTGTCATTTGTTATTGAGCTATTCTGTAAAATTTAAAACCGAAATGTCGAATACCAACACTCGAAACCCACTGAAATTTCCTATACACTTTTATACTGTATTATAATCAGGCCAAACTCATGTTTTTGCTATGAATATTGACGGGATAAATGCAATTTAATGCCAGTATATTGCTTTTTCTAGAAATATTCATAGGAACATTCCCATGCTCTGCTGCTATGGAAATACAGACTGAATCAAAGTGTACGTGTCATTGATCTTGCTGCCTGCCGAGTTATGCATAGCTAACCCTTTGTACGCCCCCAGTATTATAACCAGGCCAAACTCATGTTGTTGCCATGAGCATGGAGGAATAAATTCGTAGTAACAGGATAAGCGCAATTTAATGCCAGTACCTGCTTCTTCAAAAAACTATTTATAGGAACAGTCCCACGGTTCTGCTGCGATGGAATTGACTATTAGGGGTCTTTGATCTTGCTGCGGGCCGAGTTATGCATAGTCGTACCCTTTGTACGGCGCCCAGTGATAACGACTCGACGTTACCATGGAAAAGCATAGAACAAAGTAAGAAAATATCAGTCTCTGAATTTTTGCGTGCAAATAAATCTTGTATTTATTATTTTCTTTAAGTCTCATTTTCAATTATATTTTATATTTGGTACGATGCAAATAAATTAATTACAATAAAAACAACAAGGAAGTGACAAACAGAAATTAAAAATCAAACAAGAACAACTCATTCAGTAGAACATAAATTAAAGTTAATTAGCGTAAACAGTTTATTACATGAACATAGGCCTAATTAGTGATCAAGATTTACTGTGTGTGTGCAGTCGCTTGTATATGCTTGTATGATAATCTGAACTAAACACAATACATTTATTTTAGTGTTGTTTTTTGTTTTCATTTTGGAAGCTGAACAACAATAATTTAGGCCAAAAAATGGCTACCGTATCCGAAAACACCATTCCTCTACACCCAGGCCCAATGTCTGTTTTTAAAATGACCTACAGAGAATGAATGAAAATAAATGGGGAAAAAATAATGCCACCCTAGCTTAGCCTACTGCACTAAATTCTGATATACATCGTATATTTTGAGTATTTATTGGCGGTAACTGTACTTTATCATGAATAGGACTACAAATAATAGGCCTATTGTACACTAATTATTTTTGATATAGGCCTACCATAATATATTTTAAATGCAAGGTTATTCCCAACTATTATATTGGAACAAATTATAGACAATAAATCAATGGATAGAAAAAGCAAGTTAAAGAATGAAATAATGATAATATGTTAAGAGATCGTAATTCAGTAAATATCCCATAGCCCATTGAGTACAGGACCAGAGCCTAACTTTTACGTCAAAACCACAGGCCCTAAACTTCCAGCCCGGTGATGCAGACACCGCAAGGAAGACGTTCCAAGTCCACTTGATACGCCGTGGCGTATCACCAATTGAAAACTACTTTTATACATTACCAGTGCGTTTCATAAATGAAATTAAAATTCCTGTAGTAAAATAACATAGTCATTTGGTACATTCAAGCGTTTAAAAACGATTTAATGATTATACATTTTAAATTTAATTATTTTGAAAAATTATTATAAAATGAATAACCCACATGGAATCGTAGAGTCCATGGTTAATCAACGACGCAACAAAACATGTGCTTCGCTTCGCTTTCTAGAGAAAACACGGAGAAAACAATATTTTACAGTATACAATACAATACCTTTTTTAAAGAGCCTGATAACCATATATAATAAATACGGTATATTCTTTTACACTAAACTTCGATTAATCAACATTGAAATAGAATAGAGTCTAGGTTTGTGCCGCATCAAAACAGTGTTTCATCGGTAGAAAAGGGTGAGAGCAGTGCATGTAACTGCTAGCTGGAGATTGTTTTTGCTTTTTTTGAAACGTTTCTTGTCACATACAATGGATATACTGTTCCAGCAAAGTTCCAGATTAATCAATATTAAAATAGATAACATATAGGCCTAGGACAACTGCTCACATTTATATCAGATAAAGGTACGTTAAATGAAGTTCAATATTTTTTTTGTATTTCGCTAACAAAGGAAGTGTATCCTAAGTTCATGATCGAATGTAGGCCTACTGTAGTACACCGATATCTGTCTGTCGTCCTAGACAGTTTAATCTAATTAATTAATAGATTTAGTTAATCTTAATTAATACTAAAACGATATAAGAAATAATAATTTTAAAGACTAACTGTAAAAATATATAATTAGGCCTAACAAAAATTCATAAAAATTGCCTGTTTTCGATTTTTAATTTTACTCCGTAATTTTTCTGAGTAAGCCAAAACCTTGGCCCTATCCATGGAGGTATAATATCTATGTCCTAGGCCTCTCCTAGTTTTATATTTCTGCTGTGTCTTGGTTTTAATCGTAACGGTGACGATGACGATAATCTCGATAAATTATTAATGTAATTCTCAGAAATATAACGTGAGCTTGCGTTACTTCCAATAGGGTTTATTTTTATACGAGACGTTTTTGTTTGTGTTAATTGGGTTTTTACACTAAGCCTGTTATCTATTCCCCACTACGAAGTGGAGTAGCCCAGGAAAATAATCCCAACGCGTGTCCAACTATGGGATTAAACTGCCTTTAATCGCATCGCGTGGTCCACTCATATACGCGTTGCTTTATTTTGCGAAGCTCCCTAAACCAACTTTCAAACAGTTCAGCAAAAAGGGTTCCTGGTGGGGCATTATTTGTCAACTCTACAGCTAAGCGCTTTCCTTTAAATATGATAAAGGGAGGTAGAACACTACCTTGGGTATTGGCACACACAAGAATGGTGACATTTTCTCCACAATCACTGGTACGAGACTGAACAGTTTTTTTACCCTTAGTGGCGATTACCTTTGACGGAGTGTGTACAAGACTTAGTCCTGTTTCATCCAAGTTATATATCTGGGCAGGCTTGGACTTTAAACCAGTTCTGTCCAGCAATTCGCCTAATTTTGCAAAGTGGTCTCCAATAACATTCGGATTTAGCATAGCTGCACGCGCAGCTGATAGGCCTTCAGGTTTTCTTAATGAAAGTTGAGGATGCCTTCTCATAAAACCTTGGTACCAGTCATAACCTGCTTTTTTTTCTTCTTTATTGAAGCGGTGTGGAATGCCTGCCTCATATGCCAATTTACAAACCCTGTTTATGCTGAGGCCAAAGCCGAGGCTCTCCATCTCTTGCAAATAAGTGACTAGGCGGCGTTCATCTTCAATAGTAAACGTTGGTGGTCTAGTTGCCGGTGCATCTGCCAGTGTAGCCTGTGGCACATCATACTGCTTTGCTGCCTTACGTAAAGTAAGCCTCTTCTCCTCAACAGCTTTCATCGCAAGTTCCATTACTTCCGGCTTCCATTTCCCATATTTTGGGGTCCATGATGGCTTCTGTCTTGCCATATTCGATCTGAAAACATAGTAGAGTACAAAATAATAAGAATAAGGTAATATGTAATAGCACACTTTGTTAAAATATGCAAAAATATAACAAAAAATTACATTAAGGCGTGATCTACAAATTATCCCCAACGACAGAAACGGGTCAAACACGTTTACTATTGTTATATGACAAGCTCCCAAACGCGTCTGTGAAATGCCGTTTGGAAGCTTGTTGTTCGAGCCGTTTATTCCATTTGGAAGTTAACTCCTCCCCTTTTCATATGGCTGACTGCTCGTGAATGGCAAAATGTTAAACGCGTTCAGCAAAATTTGGAATTTGATCGTGATTTAAACAACTTCAAAACTTGTTCAGTGTTCCTACCGTACCTAGGCTATGTAGGCCTAGGCCTATATTTATAAGTAGTAGCCTGGTAGTAAAATGCTAGCCTACGCTAGGTGACAGTTCACGAAGAAGCCTACGTTTAATAATAGAGAAAATAGATGTTCTATTTTCTCTTTAGTTTATTGAATGATGTTTGGCGAATACTGGCGTCCATTTGTGTTCCCATGTGATTATGTGTGCAGGGAGTTGATAAATGTTTTCTCGTTCGTCGTCAGCTTCTTAGCTGGTAGGCTGCTATTTAACGAAGATAGGTCTTTCCGATAGAGCAAATGGCAATTAGGCCTATGCAGTCTTTAAACTTTGAACTTGGTTCATTTCAAAGTAAAACTTGTTCAGTATTTTAAATTGTACAAAAACGGTAGTTCAACCGGGGCCTGGTCTAACGACACAGACGCGTTTGTCGCCCAAAACAATAGAAACAATGGCAAACGCGTTCAACAGCACAAACCCGTTTAGACGTGTCTGGGACATATTCGGACTAGCTTATTAATATTCATGAGGCACGATAATTAGACGATCGCTTTCCCAGACGCGTTTGTAATACATGGTTTTCCCAGACGCATTTCTGTCGTGGGGGATAATTTGTAATACACCATTCCAGGATAGTCTTTGTCGAATCTCATATGGTGGAGCTTCTTTATGCCATTCAACGGCCTGAAATATGGCTCAAGATAATCACCCCAGTTGTGCTGCTGCACAAATACCTCACCTGACTCGCTTCCAACGATCCTTGCTTTGTTTATTCCTGTGGTGCTGCTATTATTCACTACATTTGCCATGTCATCAAGGCACCCAACCACATTGTTCCGGTATTTCTGTTTAATCAGGCCAAAGCCAGCGTCAGGGGAAAATTTAGTATGTCCTGCTATCAAGAAATTCAGGTGGATCTTTTCATGAAGTTTGTAAATTGTGTGCCACGCTAAGTACCACAACATGTATTGATTTTTGTTTTGGCCTGAGCAGTTGTCGCAGTTCAACTGCACCACTTTTTCTCCTAACCCGTTTGAAATTAAGAAATCGTGTAAGTAGGAGATTACGGCTGACGATCCCTTCGATAGCAGCATACCCTCATCTATCAAGTAGTTAACTTGTTGTGGAACAGCTTCGCAGGCAACTCCAAATATACCACACTTCCTTGTACATAAAAAGTAAATGGGACCTGGCTGTTGTGGGTCAAAAGGAAATGCGACCTGCTGGGCGAAATCAAAGGAGTAATGCATCGTGTAGTTCTTCGAACATGGTTCAATAGGTCCCAATCTCTCGCCAGTATTTTTTAGTACATCCTTTGAGTTTGCCACCATCTCCCTGTATAGCTGTCTTTCCATATCCGCGACTCTCAGATGCTTGACACTGCAGACGCGTCATCTTCTCGGCTTCACTTTCATTTGCACTTCTATAAACTGAAGCATTATTCGCCTGGCAAGTCCAGCACAGGTCTGATTTTGGACGACTTATCATCACATAAGGGGCATACGTAAGCCAAAGTTTATTGAATGTTGACCTCCTGGCAATTCTCAGCAAGGGTTGTCCTGAAAAATATGTAGAATAAAATTATGTGAAAGAAACAGAACATCAGGTATATTATCAATCATTATTTAAAAAATGCTACATTCCGGTTTGCGATAATGGACCATTATTTTAAAGCCAGTGTTTACGTGCCACACTGTATATTCAATAGTTTTTTTTTGTTTTCTGCTGTCCTAAGTGAAATTTTTTTTATAACGTATTTTGCTAAGAAATTAATTAACAACAAATATTTACTTACCAGCAGCTGTTTTTCGCCGATTCACTTCTTCCATTTCTTTTTCATACTTTCTGAAAACTGTGGATTTGTTTTCAGATGACGGCAGCAAACGTGTTCGTGGATCATTGGTGTTCACTCTGCTTTGACGTCCAGGTAGAGGGAGGCCATGTAACTCACCATAACTTGTAATAAACGTTACAATTCGAGTTATATCCTCTGTAGACAATGCAGTCTTGTTAAATCTACGGCCGCCAGTCTTTGGTTTTGGGAGACATACACCATTCGTTTTATAATGTTTGGTCAGTAGGTTTAGATAGTTGTTGCTTATGCTAAAGAAGAAAAAATTAAATAATGAAAATATTTGATACAGCTAAGGCGTCATCTCCACCGATTTCCAGACGACATGGGGTGCGTCCGAAAATAGCTGTAATCGTGGACGCGTCTGTGAATTGTATCAACCTCATTATATTCTCATTAAATATTCATGAGCTTGCCAACCCGTCGTCGGGCCCACACAATACAGACGCGTTTTTCTTCAGTTGATCGCGTCTGAAACTTGTCTATTTTCGAATTTACAGGGACGCGTCTTACTGCGTCTGTTAGCACTTAAACGTTAATAATGTTTCAATTCGGTTACAAATTAAAAATTTCAGCCAAGAGACCACCGAAATTGATGCATAATTATGCCTAGGTCTAGACTACATGCTAACGTTTACCTTTGCTTACGAACGAATTATGAGTACAGTACGATCATGGTCCATCATTGAAAAAAAACACTCCCAACACAGTCTTGGCCCAAGTATTAAACCACTAGGTTTATGCAGAGCAAATATAGTACCAATTGAACAAAGGGTTGATTAGCACATGCTTAGTAGTACTGAGCGCTATCACAACGAAAAATCCAAATAAAACTTCTTCAAACGTAATCAAAGAACATTCAGTAGAGACGACCATGTGCTTCTTGTATAGGATTTTATAAACAAAGGCAGTGCGCATTCGCAGTGACAGTGCGAATGCGTCAAAAACCAGTTCGGGGTTTAATGAAACCTTCGACATCACGAGACGCACCCAGACGCTAGACTGAGGACAGCGTCTGGGCGCGTCTCGTGAATGTCGCTTGTCGCTGAATTAGGCCAAATAAAAATACCCTTAACTGGGACTTTCCCAAATGGAGGGTCTAGCCCCCCCCCCCAACACCCCCATCCTGCTTCTTAACCTATGGGTCGCGACCCAAATTTTGGTCGCCGAAATATTTTTAAGGGTCACGAGATTGCTCCTGACTTTCAAAAAAAGAAAAGAAAAACTTTGCAAAGCTTAGGCCTATGTCGAAACATAGTGGAGTACTACTACAAAGACAAAAGCTAGAAATTATTGTCAACCAAAACCTAGAATATATGGTTGCATTTGCTTGTTAAGTTCGTTTGAGCCTTTTTACGAATGGGTGGGGACGTACAAGTTTTTTTGGAGTTTTTTTTTTTATGTACAGTGGAGTTTTTTTTATGTTTTTTTTTTATGTACAGTGTTTATATTTGACCAGTCAGCATCACCCAAGTCGGCTGTACACTAAGACTGTTTTGTTGCAGATCGCCTCTGCGCATGCCTCGTCTCGCTCTGGTGATTTTGAGCACATGTTCAAACCAGAGGAAAGAAAAAGTATTGCCTGCCGCCCATCATCATTGAGTATGTATCTGTTGGGCTGCCATGCTGAAATATATGTCCGATAAATATAAACACGGCGTGATTTATATTATTTCTCTTAAAAAGTGTGCCGTATAAATTTGAAGGATGCAGTGTGGATTTGTTGTAGATTTTGTTGATGGGATATTCGTACCATGCCAGACGTGACCAGACGCACCTAGACGCGGGTTTAAGCGTCTTTACCGCTCGTCGATGGAATTCACTGATTTGAAGAGGACAGGACTGGCAATGCCAATATGG